AAACTATCCATTTGGTTAGTATTGTAAAGCATTAATCAAAAAATTAAATTAACTGTCACTCTGTTAGCGTACGATTTCTCGGTTTCAAGTTATGAAGCTATAAATATTTAGACACATAGGAAATTAAAAGTTCTTACATATCACAAGATGTTTATTCAATACAATGAATTTATTTATTTGATTTTGAATATGTGAAAAATGATTGGCAGGTTAGTTAGCCAATAGTTGCAGTAATTGCAATAATCAATAATCCATTACATGGCAAGGGGGGAGGGGAAGAGACAGGTGATTTCTCTTAAACGGAACGGGGGCATTTGATTAGACCTCCTTTATCAAGAGCAGTGTTGAGGCTTTTTTTGCCTCAACAAAAGTAGTCAAAAGCTCTTCTGTCTTATTGGAAGTTATATTTATGTTGTTTCAGAGCACTTTTGAAAGTTTCTGTAAGAATCGACTTCAGATATAGGGTCAATTCTGTTAATTAACCATCATGTAATCGTGTTTAAAATGAACAATTGATTATTGGAGAAAAATCATTACCATCTGATAAGACCATTTACATCCTCATTCATTTCTGAAAAAAGCTGAGTGACGCGGCAAGACCAACCCTTTTTAGATTAAAAATACCAGTTATTAAGTACAAAATTTCAGTCATTTTTATTCTGAAATCGAGGGAATGAAACGTGAAATTTGAATTTTAGATAAGTCCTTTGGCAAATAACATACCGCCCGATTATAATAACCAAATGAAATAAGACTTTTTGGTATATTTATGTTGGCCACTGTATCTCCTTGATTCTTTTTCACTGACAATTCGTTTGATTCAATTTATTCGATGTCATTTGCTTTCCAAAATTAAGTATTGGAAAAAATAGATGATAATAATAAGACTAGTATGAAGAAATTGATTCTCTAAGTGCTGTGCTGCTAAAATCTGGTATGAAAAGATTGCTTAAGGTTTTTCCTATTTAACAGTTTTACCCAATCCGGTTTAGGACCTAATTTCTTAAAACTAATATTTTGGAAATATTTACAACGACCAAATTTATTCAAATTGCCTTCAAAAATCCAATCACTCTTGCAATTTCAATGGCTGGAGATCTAATTGCAGAATTTTGTGGGGGCTGAAAATAAAACGAATAGTAAAAGTAAATTCATCAATAATAATTTTATTTAATTATACTGCTATTTCTCGCGTGATCTTATTCATCATATTAGTGATCAATGAATTTTTCAGAGCATTAAAATTGCCGATGCTTTTAAGTGATATTTTGGTGGAGAACGTAACTAATTATCTCGGGCGTGTACACATGAAATTGGAGGGATAATGGATTTTTACACCAATGAATTTTTGATGTGTATTATACGTGCATTGATTTCTACTGCCGAACGTGCATTGTGTGCTCTAGTTAGTTTTTTTAATCATTTCATTATCTTGCCATATTTTCTTCAAGAATCTTTATTACCCATACGGAATTTGACATAACTTGCTTCGCTATAGCAACCATTCATTGGTGCCATATTTTACGCTAATTGACTATTTGTTCAATATTTTTTCAATGTATAAACCAGTCTTAAGAGAAAATTGATATATTAGGTGCTGACAAGGTGGTTTAAAAACTTTATATCCTTTTCCAAATGCAACATTGCTGCTTTCCTAGCTTTTGTGGCAAATTATAGTCCTCCCTGCTAACTTTAAAGCCAAGAGTATTAACATACTCGTCTGTCAGAGCACACAAATGTATAAAAATGTCAAAGGCCATCATTAAACGGAGTCTTCCAGACATCAAGCTCTGAATACCGCAAACATAAAATTGCCTCGAAGTTCAAAAATCAGTGTAATGAAAAAGGTGCATTGTGTCGGGTAAATATTTCACAGTGAAGTATGTTTCTAAATGTTTTCAGGATTCAGCTGCATTAGGACAAACAACTTAGTTGCATTAATCAACAAGAGCCAATCACAGAAAATCCCTTGAATTAAAAATTCCTCCTGTTTAAATGTTGGAGGTTAAAATGACCAATTTTCCCTTACTCTAAAGCACTCAAATGAAGTAAAAAAAACATTTTCCCACTTGACTTAGTTATTTTCTTTATTTTAAATCTAAAGAAATATAAACATTCAGTTTAATATCAACATAAAATAAAGCAATATTTATTTATTATTACTAGGCGAATTATATGCTCAGAGAGTAGAATAATTATAGACTATCTATATAAATAAATTCTATACTTGTGGCAGAAATAGAAAAGACCACCACAGTAAGAGTCATTCATTTTATGAAAATGGAGCCATGTTGTTCAAAAGCCGAATGAAGAAGATCAAAAGTAAGAATATATTTTGAGATTTTTATGTGGGAGCTAAAATAATTTTGATTGGCTTCTTAATAGTTGGAAAGGTGGAGAACATAATCTAATCGCATTCAAGTTATTTGTTTGTGATAATTTTCAATCAAGAAATATTGAGAAGACCTTATTATGCTGGGTAAATTCCTGTAACTAGAATTCTCGAGTCCGATATTCGTTTTAATGCATTTATTAAATGTGCTGATGAGTTATGGTAGGCATCAGTGGTTGACCTGAGGCATATTATGCGATTTTCACATTAAAGGGGGTCCTAAGGTGATTCATATTTCATATTAATGAAATATTAATTGATAACACCATTTTTTTAAATTTTTACTTGTCTAGTACTTATTTCCGTTTATCGCTCAACCACACTCAAATTTTCCTGCATTTTACTTAGCCTTCAAGTGCAATTGATGAAAATGTAGGACGACATGGGGTTACCGATGGTTTCAGAGTAGATCATTGTGACTGAGGTTGAGTATTGATGTTATTCACCCTGAGTGAATGCTATTCATGGCTGCAATGTCAAGTCAAGTCAAGTCAATGCCAAATCGGCCTGCGTCCCAGGCGTTTTGAAGCAATAACTATTCAAACACATAGAAGACAGTAGGTGTTATGAACAAGAAGGTACACGCTATTTCTGACGATAAATAATGAAGAACGCGTTCTAGCGAACTGAACTATAACGAAATAACTTAAAAATTGGTTTACCTTTCGACAAATAATGGATACTTCATTTTTCCTTATTAACAAGACTTATTGTTAACTATTAGCAATTGTGACATGAATGTTCGAGGAAGGAAGATAATATGAATTCAAATGTGAATGCGCCAGAAAGATTAAGCTTATTAGGAATGATAAAATAAATAGAATAAATTTATTCAATCAACCCATAATTAATCTGTCATTTTTTTAGGCGTATATAATTAATTGATCTGAAGGAAAAAATAGTAAATAGATCTTAATTATAAATCTTAAAGTAATAAAAAAATTAATCAATAAAAATACTCGCCTCTAAAATTAAGAATAATGATAATAAAACTTAATTAAATATGCCTTGAAGACAGATTTATTAATTACAATTTTATTGAGAAATAAATTCAAGCAATTCAGTAAAAAGAACAGTCATGTGTACTTAACCCTTGGAAATTCGTCTGTCTAAATTAAATTGAGACATGATAGTTTGAACTTAAATTATTAATAAAAGAAAATATATTCACTAAAATGTCATTAGCGTTAAAAACAGTAAGACTTAAAGGAAAAATTAAAAGATTGTTAGTTTATTTATTCTGGCATTAAAGCAACTTCTAATTTTTAGTTATATTCTACCCTAACAACCTTCTCCAAGAATGTTTACCATGCAAAACTAATCGTGTTATGTAGAAAAAGGCAGCACTTAAGAAATAATCCAATTTTATACCGGTGAAATTCTAGAGATTCGGAAAATTTAGCTCCGTTTCTCAAATAAACATGGACGACATAAGCGACAGAGGGGCCATATCCACGACTCAAAAGCCCCAACTGCGTAGATATAACCCCATTCAAGAACTGGAAGTTATGATAACAGGGACATTTAAATGCCTTCAAAAGTAAAGGAAGACTCTTGGTACCCAGATTTTATTGAGACCTTCTTGGTCACATATCCCTTCGCCTCTCCCTCACCTCCAAAGCCTCATTTCATTCCTTAATTAACTTGTTTGCTCTTTCCAATAAACCCAAACTTTCCTATGAGTGAAACCAGACAATAGGGGAAGATTTGAGCGAAAATGTCTGAAACTGTTTTTTTTAATATGTACTGTTAGTACCAAATCAGCAAATCTTAATATCATTTATTCTTTAACGCTTTGGCAAACTTGTTAATAACTGAAAATTGCTTATATTGGTTTCACTGAACACAGCCTACGAAGCTTCGCCCGTATAACATTTTTGACCTTCCTATCTCTGCTGAAAACGGTCAAATATCGTATAAAATCAATTTGTTTTTCCAATAATTGAAATTAAAATATAAAGTGAAGCTACCAGATCTCTCTTTCTTGATTAAAATAAACCAGCAAATAAACAGTGAACATCTTGGACAAACGTTTTCTACAATCTAGGGCACCAATCATGAATTTGAAATTTTCGAATCAGTAAACCCTGTACAACATGAAGGCGAAGATCAAATGATATACGACCAGTTACACCTTGAAACTATTTGGAGTGCCGTTTTGATCCGGTTCTCTTTGTCATTTGTTGGGCCTTATATTATCTCATTTCGATTGCTTCCCACCAAAGTGGAATTGTTCTCTTGCATTATTGTAGGCAATAGCAGAAATAGTATTCATGTCTTCACTTTCTACAGGCTTTTACTTCACTACTCAATTCAACATCCCATTACGTGCGTAATAGCTAATCGAAAAATCATAGTAAAAATTACTATCTTTCTACAAGTTTGAGACAACCTTTTAAGACTTATGATGCCTACCACGCTTTCCAACTAACCAAATTCTTTTCAAGTTGCATATGTCGAATACGAAGGCTACCCGCAACCCCCAACACACCATGTTCATAGTCCCCCAAAAATAGCTCGTATTTGGCACAAATACGTGCCCTTTATTCCTAATAATACTACGACACCATTGACGAAAGGTTGCATATATTTGCACAGGGAGAGAGCACTACTTACCAAGCCATAGGAAGAAGGTACTTAGACGCGGATCGATGTTTGCTTCCGTTTGGTGAATGTAATTGTAAAGTGGTAAACCCAACTGCAAAGGGAAGGAAAGGGAGGGTTAAAAGTGGACTGTCCGGCACACGAGTTACGAGGACTTGACTGCGCGTTGACCACATCACACTTTTAAAGCACAAAGACAAACAAACAAACAAACACACATAGCCGAATAAATATAGAAAAAAATAAAACCCGATTTTAACAAGATTACTCAGTTACTTGCTAATGGGTGACAGGTTACTGATTTTTATGCGAAATTTGCACTCCTTTTGCGATATTTTCTTAAATTTAAAAGTATTTTAGGTCCTTTTCCTAACGAATAGGCGTGTGTTATTGAGTGCACTCTAAGAAAACTTCTTCCTACACTTATTGACATTTATGAATAATTTAAAATTAACTAACATGGTTAATCACGCCTTGAAGGCATGATTAGCTACTTCTAATTAATTTGCATATTTCACAGTTGAGCAATAATGCTTTTTAACGTAATGTTCCACTTAATTCAACCAAAGATAGAATATGAGGATTTTAATTACAGTAAAGTTAGTAAATGAAGGAGGAATTGCAACAAATGAAAAATGTAAATAATTCAACTGTATAATTCGAATAATTCATAGTTTATTACTGGGTAAATTTGACGCTAAGTTATGGATAACAGCATCGATTATTTATTAACGATGTTCATACTGATTAGTGGCTTCAAGGCAAAATGAGAATTAAAAACTTGGAAAGCGTTCGCAGAAGTAATAGAAATTTCGCTAGAGTTAATGAAGAAGCTTGCAGAAACCATCATTAATTTTATACAAAACTCTCAGGTGTAACTAAGACGTAAGAAAATGACAAATGATGAAATGAATGTATCAAACCGACGATGGTATCGATTTAACTAACCCAATTACTCAAAGTAAAATTAATGTTGATGGTGAAGGTGAATCTCAACTTATTCTACGTGTATTAGGCATGATAATAGCAGAGGTTTTGCTTCTTAAATCCGGCGCAAATATCTGGAAACGCTCAAGACCAACTTGATATAGCAAGAGATGACGTGCATCTTGTCAATTTTTTACATAAAGGGTCAAAATCACCTGTCAATGTCTAAATGCTTCAAAGCTCAGCTTTCTTGCTCGATTTATCGCTTTGGGTCTGAGTCTATACTCACTTATATACCTCTTGATTCAGTTGAAAGGTTGAATATGGTGCTTTGCTTAATAAGCTTCGTCTTACAGCCACGATTATATGAAGATGAGACTAGCAATGATAATCTTATCATTGCGACCTGGTAGTACAACTGTAAGGTAGGAAGGGCCATTTAATAATTAACAGCAGATGTTAAGCTATCTTCATCAATAGGTTCATTAAGAACCTTAATTTTAGAAGATAATTGGAAACCTGAGTAAGCTTAGGAGCAAATTTCTTCCATAGTTAAAGTAAAATTGATCACAATGCTTCCAAAATTTTCTAAACCATAAATTAAAGGGGAGTGGGAGCCGATGCTTCTTGCATTCAAGGTCCTAAATGGTCAAATCTAACTTTACTAACGTATTTCTGTCCAATCTCGTTTCTTAAACAAACTCCAATTAATAATTGGCCCCCGATCCTCTTCTTTATTTCCATTAGACTAACCGTAATTAGTAAAATAACGAGTCAGTGTTACCAGACCTTCCTACTCATCCATTGAATTGCACTATTACATCTTGCATAGAGAATTTTAATTAAAGGCATTTTTGCCTATGCGCAATCACAGACAATGATTAGGCAGTGAGAGATCTGTTCCTGATATTTCTATAATAACATAAGTAGACAGGTAGCATTTAGTCCATTTAAAAACACAGGAAGATAGAGTGAATCACGATATCACCCTATTACGTTAACTGAGCATAATTGGCATTAGACACGTATGTTTTGAATGCAACAGCATGTCTACTCATACACAAAGTGACTGAAAAGTGACTACATATACTATCTAATTACTTTATTATTTAAAATCCTATAAAATAGCATGGCAATCATGCCTATGATTGCAGTTTTCCTCGCTATTCCACTTTTATACAATTCCTGGTTTTTACTTATGAATAACAATTCTCAGCTGTCTTTGAATTAATATGAACACTTGCGTTGGTGATTGGCATTCATAAAAAACTATTGTTTAACAGAATTGACAATTCTTGTCTCAGTTTGAGTTAAAGGCAACTACAAAACTAATATTTTTTACCAAGAAAAAAACCATTCATGCAAAATTTTAACTTTATTTTGAGCTAAGATATATCAAAATACAAAGACCCAATCAGGAGAAAGTAATACTGAAATTGTACCTATATTAGAATTAAAATGTAACCGCATATTTTTGATTGGAATCAACTCTGATGTCTATTTTAAGACATAGCACTAAGTACCATCATTAGACTACCCCGAACAAACAACCGAACACCTCATTGGGTCCAGTTATCGAATTCCAGTTAATATGGAAATTAGGATTTATTTCTAAATATTGAATAAATTTTTTATTTCAGTGCACAAACTACTTTCATACAATAGTAATAAAGGTCATGCTTATTTAATTAGATCGATTTCCTATTTTTAATTGAGTTAACTTTTTTAATCTACTTCAGCGAAGGTGACGCTTATTATTAATTAAAGTAGAGTTCGAAATTATGGGAAAATCCAAGTTTCACACAAATAAGTCATCTTATTAAATTAAAAGGTAAATTAAAAAGGGTAACATGTACTTTTAGGCAAACTCAATAAATCCACCTTAATGATAATTTGTAATAAATCCAAATATGCAGGTGAATATTTGAGAAAACCATCGAATTGCCACTATGAAAATATTCATTTAATTAGTAAGCTTTGAAATGAAAAAGTTTAATACGAACTAATTTTAGTTTTCACGAGGTAAGTCGTTTTAACAGATTTTAATTTCATCCTCTTATTTAGCATATACTCATTCGCTATTCACACTGACATGCCCACCGGCTAAAAAGATGATCAATCTCAGTTGTTTGACCAACCATGCCTCTAAATGGATTATTTCTAGAATGAGTTAACTGAATGACCAATTGGTCAGATTATAAAAACTGAGTTTCAAGATATTTGAGTATTACAACATTCATTATGCCCAGTTTGAAAAAATAAAAACAAAATACTTTTGGAATAAAAAAATTACGAATCTTTGTATTTTCGAAAACACTATGTCCTCAGATGGGACATCTTGATATTTTGTTTATTTCAATGCTGTGGGTTAATTGAAACTTTCAAAAGAATATCATGATAAATTATAAAGATCAAAATAAAACCTGATATTTACCAAATATGTCGCTTCAAAGTGGATTTTGGAATGAATGGCGCTATTAAAATAGAAACAGGAGGCTTAAAAATTGGCAAATTCCATCAAGTCGACTATTCTTTGACAACAAGCGGAACCAAAAGGTACAAACTATTTTGATTAGGTCTAAGATTAATTAAATAATTTGGTATATAAAACCCAATAAATAAGAAGTTCGGAGTAGGTATACATATAATATGAATCAAGAACAATTTATAAAGCTATATAAATGCTGGCAAAATTTTCATTCCATTAGAAATGTCTGGAAGGATTGTCAAGTATTTTACACACTATGAAGTTTTATTTATTTTTAACATATCAATATACGAGAGAAAATATCTTATAAAATAGGCAACTATTGGACCAAAGGTTTTCGTGGAAAAATAATTAAATGGATTGTTAGATTTAGTGACTTTTCATATTAAAATTTTAATTCACTTATTGATAAAATTTTAAATAAAGGAATATTAAGACTTTTAAAAGGTATAAAATTGATCGAAGTTAGCTGTGCTCGTTATTTTGCAAATATATGGCAAAAATAAAATGTAACTAATAGGAAAAAAGAAATAAATTGTAATTTAAAAATAGATGGAAAAGTATAGCAGCATTGAGCCCATCGAGGATAAGAGAAGTCAGGTATGTAATACTAAATAATGAAAAATGTGTTAATAAATTTAAGCGGCTAGGAACAATGGCAAGTTCTCTTACCGCGACAATGAAGAAAGATAGCCAGCAAATGCAGAAAACTCCCATAATGATACCGAGAGTTCGAATAGCTTTCGCTTCATTTGATCTTCTGATACCGGGTTTCCTAATATGAAGAGCCAGACTCATTCGCTGCTTTGAGAATAGTGGAACATTACCATTCCACTTGGGCTTTTGTTGCAGATTTGCGATATTAACTGAAAAGGCCCGATCTCGCAACAAAGATGACCTTGCTCTCGGGTTACCTCCACAAGCAGCCAGACTAGTTCGATAATTTCTCGTGAATTGGCCCTGGGGGTGTGGTGGATCAGGGGTCAGAAATCCTACATTTATCGATGAACGATCAGAGTTATTTGCAGGTTCTTCTGTCAACGTCGTGCAGTTATTATTATTATTGTTGCCATCAGTTGGATGAGCTTTACAGGGAGGGAGGCGACTGAAATGATGAATCTGACCACCAGTGGAATAGGAGCCCATATTTGTCATCATTGGTTTGGGACTGTCATGTGGGCTAATAATATTTACATGTGGAAAATGGACCGGGTTCGAATGTCTTTTGGGAAGACTATGACCTACTGATGTAATTGCCACATTAGTATTGTAGGAATTTTGATCCAAAGACTTGTCTGTAGAATCCATGGAAACCCTCTTTTCAAGCACAAAACAGCAACCTTTACAGTGACACAGATAATTAGATTTCGAATCCTCCTCGGTGCCTTGAGATTCCGCATAATTTTGAATAGAATTCCGCTTTTCATCTCCAGAATATGAAGCTACTCTAGCTCGATCAGATCGAACAATCCTTCTTGCCAAGATGACAATTCTTCCATAGAGAATCAACATGATAATGAGAGGGATATAGAAGGCTCCTAGGCAAGCATAAACTTGGTAGAAGAAATTTTTGCTGTATTCACATTTACCCGGAACGAATTTGCTTTTGAAACCGAAAGTTGGAGGAACACTGATAAGAACGGAAACAACCCAAGCACTGAAAATCATTATCATCATTAATTTGGGAGTTCTTTTATATACATATTCAAAAGGTCGTGTTACGGCAAGATATCGGTCAATGCTGATAGTGCATAAATTAAGAATAGAAGCAGTGCATAGAAGAACGTCAAAATTTATATAAATATCACAGGCAACTTCACCAAGTCCCCAATATTGCGTGTATTCCATATAAGTAGCAAATGGCATCACCATGATGCTGACTAAGAGATCGCTGGCAGCAAGACTCACGATTAAAAAATTACTGGGACACCGCAATTTGTGTACAAGAAGAACAGCAGCAATGACCAATACATTTCCCACAATTGTGAGGAATGTGATGATGCAAAAAGTGACAACAAGTGGTATAGATCCAGTTTTAGTTACATTTTCAAATTGTTTGGTCGAATAAGCTGATGCTGAATCATTAAAGTCCATTGATTACATTAAAAATAAAAAAATAATGAATTCTAATCGATTTTTAATTCCACTACTGCTTTTCATTCATATTCGCGCAATAAATTCACGTGAGGTTGGGCACTTCAAGGTTAAATTAGGTAAATGACCTTTAAAAAATTCAAATATTCTAACGATTTAATTTATTTATAAATTTTAAGATAATTAATTTAAAATGTAAAAAACTATTGCAAAAGTGTGTTTTTATTCACGGGACGGAGTGCGCTCATATCAAACATTTCAAAATTTACCGGCCTAGTGTGAAAAGCTACTTTAGGCGAGTCCTTAAGATATTACAGAAACTGGATTCCGCTGCTAATCTTGATAAGACCGAATCTCAAAATTCGGTTAAAAAAACTCGTAAAGATATTCTCACTCGCAGAGATGTCATTAGGGATGTATCTCGTAGTGGCGGTGAATTTGTAAAATACTATTCTGAAAATGGCTTTCGAAAAGTATGGTTGCTATGCGTCATCGTATTATCATTTTAGGTTGTGCCGTATCATTATATATATACAGCGTTCTGTAAACGTCGATGGGTGAATTGCAAACTTCTCGATATCCTTGATCATGAATTTAATTTTGATGAAATGGATGTTATTGTAGGTCATAGCTGCTATAACTTAAATGTTCACTCTAGGTCCAGCGAATTCTCTCTGGTCAGATCAGAGTAAATTGCGATAAAGTGCCTCTGGACTATATTCTAAGGGATTCGGATTTGTTGGAGCATGATGTTCATAGACATGAGCTAGCAATACTTGGTAATTGATTTCGACCCTCTTAATGCCATTAGACAAACCCATTGATGTTGTTTATCAGGATGAAAGTGTGCTTGTTGTTAACAAACCACCATCTATGCCAATTCATCCCTGTGGTCAATACCATCATAATACCCTTGTCAAAATTTTACACAATGAAAAGGGAATGAATAATTTGCGAGTTATTCACCGATTAGATAGGTACGTTTCTACTTATTGGGATAGTTTTCCTGGCTTTCTCGTGGATGATTTATACATTTTTTACTGTTTTTTGTCAGAATGACTTCAGGTCTTGTACTGATCGCCAAAACTTATGACGCTGCAATGAAGATCTCTCGTCAAATTAGTGATCGTGAAGTTGTTAAGGTTAGCTACCCTCTCTTGTGTTGTTTAGTTTTAATTTTCAATTTAACAATCTGATTTTAATCGAGTTTACTTCTATAGCATAAATCGAGGGAAAACTGTAACCACATCGATTAATTATCATTAAGTTTTCTGATGTATTTTGTCCGATTTGCATAAATCTTATAAGATACACGCCTGGTTGCGATCTAACGTGGATGTCCGTTCCCGCGGGTTGATTTTGACCAATTGTCCCTCTAGTTTGAAGTCGAGTGCCGTTGACACTATAATGGGCTTTGTGTTATTCTCAAATGTTATCTGTAGTGGCCTAGAGAAAGTCGTGGATTTGGTGCTCGCCATGTCAAATCCATCCCACAGCTTGTCTTTATACATCGGCTAGAAGTTCCCGAAGTAGAAGAAGTGGTAGAATTCGAGCTTCTTCCCTGTCGGTCTTAATTTTTCTCTTATTCCGTCCCAAAGTAGGGCTGGCAAGCGCTTCCTAGCATTGTTAAGTGACTTTTTCTTCATACCGATTGTTTGCTAGAACTCTGCGAATATTTGTATTTCAAAATTTTGTTGCATTATGGTAATAAGGCTCTTGTTTTTACCAGTTCTACGTTGCCGAGGTCGAGGGCCACTTCAAAGGATCAATAGTTGAAACAGACGGCATGGAGGAAAAATCGGGCACTCCTAAACCAGTTATAGTTGACCAACCACTTGGTCGCCTATGTGATAAGATGGGCCTCAATGCTGTAATGGCTGAAAGCGAAGGTGGTAAGCCCTCGAAGACTTCCTTCCTCCCTCTTCTGTTTAAGAAACCACAGAACGCTGACTCTCCTGGAAGTACAATTGTTCTCGCTCGTCTTTACACTGGACGAACCCATCAAGTGCGCATTCATTTGCAATACCTTGGTAAATTGGAAGTTTGTTTAAATGTGGTCTACTTGTTCAAATTATGAAGAACTTGTTTATCTTTCCATTTTATAGGTTTCCCTATTGTGGATGATCCCTTGTACAATTCATATGACTGGGGTGAGACAAAGGGTGCTTTTGCTAAGTATAGAGAACCACGATCGGAGCTGTTAGCAGTGCTCGCAACGTCGAGGAATAGAAATGTATATTTGAAATCAGTTGTAAGTGTGTTCGACTATTTGTTTCAACCATTTGTAAAGTAGTTGACATTTTTCAATTTGCTACTGATTTTGTTAACTTCTCATTTAGGCAATTGTACCCTTAGTATGAACGATATTTCAAACTAACTGATTGCTGCATTTTATAATTGCTTGAGTCTTTGCTGTGTGCCTTGAGATATAGTAAATTAAAAAATAAGTGCGATGAGAGAAATTGCTTCTTGTCATTAGCTTTATCATAATGGGTTTATTCATTTGGTACAAAGCTGTAGATTTCAGTGGCGTCTTATATCATTGATGGTGAGTGCTAATACTAGCTGTTTTTTGCTAAGTGCTCTCCCTAACTTTATAAGAATCAATACTGTGTTTTATTCGTTAACTTCGATTCCACTTTCTGAATCACCGTTTAGATCACCGAGGAACAGAACTGCGCTTCAGAAAACAAAAAGACCCGGGAAGACGGTGACAGGAGCAGTGACGAAAGCACGCAAGACAGTATTGCCGACGCAAATGCAAGCACGGACGATGTTTCGTCACCACCTTCGAAGAAGCGTCGCCTTTCTGGAGTTCGCTATTACGACGATTCGACTGTTAACGCGGAAACATTAGCTCTCTTGGAGGCTGCTTATGAATCGGACTGCCCCGATTGCAACCGTCGTTTCGCCGATCCCGTGACATCCAACCTTGTACTGCGCCTCCACGCTTATCGTTATTCTAGTGCTGAGTGGTCTTATTCGGCTCCTCTTCCAGACTGGGCTGTGGAGTCGGTAACGTCTGAAGAACTTGAAGCGCAAATTAACAAACTTCTTCCCCTTTTGTAATCTACTATTCCTTTTAATATATGCATGTACTTACATTATTTAAGTAGTGTGTGGTTTATGAGGTCGGTTTCGTATTAAAAGAGATGGAGCTTGCTGCGAAAATCGTAAATGATTGATGTTACGTGTTCTTATTACTTGACATTTTGTACTGCAATAGGGATTTGGAAAGAAGGGTAAAGGAATACTAGGAACTTTGAATTATTATAGTGGAATTTATGTTGCATTGCTATGCTGGCATGCTAATTTTCTGAAAGTTTTATAATACTGTAGGTAAATAGCTAGCGTTGGAGTCATTTGACCTTCAAATGTGGATTTACTTTCAGTCTCCAGTTTTGTGAAATTAAAAATGTTTCTTTCTGTTTAAAGTGGCATTAATAATTCATTCACAGCTTCCCTTACTACCTTTCGATTCGAAAGGGGAAAATTTGCAGAGTTCGTAATAAGTTAGGTGTTACCACTCTTTTCCCTCAAGTTTCCTCTGTTTAGAACAGTTTTTAATTGGGCAAACTCTTCTCTTAATGAAAAATTGAGCCTGATGTATTAAAAATTCTCAAAAGACGCAGATGTTGAGCCATAACTGCTCTTTATTTGTTTCTCGAATAGTCAACCGAAGATGCACCTATTTTAGTGTCAATCTTTATTGTGGTCTATCATACCTCCTCAGTCCACCCGACTATTAATCTTCTGATGGAGGAACAGCTATTGTTTTCCAACATCCTCTTAGAAAGTTAATAGATTTGTAAGAAGATACTTCGAAGCTAACTTTGGTCTATTTCCTAAAGTGACTTAGTGCTACAGCTGTTTAGGCAGGCAGTTGAGTAGAAGTTAACATAATTAACTGTTTTGGTGAATTTAATAAGTCGGAAGGATTCCTGAAAAAGTAAACAAATAAGCATTTCTTGGGTCGGTAAACTATCTCAAAGGTGTTGACGGACTGGTTTAACTTTGAAATAAAGTCCGGTCTAAACTTGAATAAACAAGTCTAGTCTCGTATATGATGAATGGCTTAATCTTTCCGAAGTGAGTGTCACTGTATTTGTGAATAGCAAAACATGAAAGCAAAAATAAGTGTGGGTCATGTGCTCTGTTGTCAAAACTGCTGGAAAAGGCCCAGTAAATCGATTCAGCACAACAAAATGGACTTTTGTTTGAAAACATGATTATATAAATGGAGCAGATTCAATCGATGGCATTGCCAAATATGCAAACTTAGTTGACAAAAGATATGAATGGAAGAGGAACAAGTCTGCAACTTGGCAACTGAGACTGATTAGGTGATTATTTATCTGAGACCTAAATTCTATCACTGATGCTAAATAATTGATGATATCGATAAATTAATCCTTACGGAAATGTGTTTAAAACAAAACGAATAAAGTCGAGAAACACATCACGATAACAGGTAACACAGATAAAGAAAAAATCCCTTCATTAGACACTAAATAAAGTCTATTCCACCTCATTTCAGAAATGATGGTCATATTTCTCGATGAAGTTACTTTTCGTACAATCCAAAATTATCAAAAAGTGAATTGTTACAAAACTGTGCTAATCGAATATTGCTATTTCTGTACCTTTTTTAGCTTCGTAAACCTAATTAATATTTGATCAAAACAGAAAGACTGGATTCGACTAACTACCAGGCCAAAGTTATTTATTTTATAATAAAACTTACAAACCGCGATTAATTATATCAGAGAGTAGCACATACGGCTCTGACAGATCAACGATATGTCACTTGAAGGTCATAGATCTAAAGACGCTTTAAAAGCTTACTTGAAGACAAGTACCTATCAATAAAGGCTAATTGGAGTAATAATTTAAATTGAACTAAATTATCAGGGGAAAATTACTCCAGTAAACGCGCGATTTCTTCAGATACGGCAACCAAATCACTTTGAAAATTTACTTATTTGCATTAATCCAGTCGCTAAAATTGCAGTCATGCGAGAGTAAATGGATGCGCATTGGTAAAATATAACCAGTTAGATCGTTTCTTGCCCCAAAACTACTGTTGATTCTGCAATTTATGCCTTGGACGTTCATTTGGACTGATATTTTGAAATGTAAATTATAAATTTCCAAGCAATTGTAAGCAAATCCACGACAAAGCAAAGTTTGTCGTAAAGGTATGCTTTAGCTTAGTTACTACAATACGTAAGTGTTAAAATACCTTTTGGAAGAAGAGTGAACGGGAACAGGTAGCAAATTTAATAACTGTCGACAATCCCCTTAATAGTTGAAATAGTCCTTGAAGAACCTTGAGTAGAAGGAAATAACCTGACTAACCAATCAATATCTCACCAGGTTAGAAGAGAATGAATGTTGTAACCCTGACAGTTATGACAAGATCAGTGGGATTATAATTAGTTAATGAAGGTCATGGGGTGTCCTATATAACCTATGCCACTAGGCGAAAAGAATGTTCGCAATTCGAGTTCAGCCACTTCAATTCTTTAAAAATGAATTCGATTATCAAACCAGACCCCAACCCGTTCATTGCAATTAGTCAAATCAATCATTGCAGGAACTGCTTCCTACCTAATTTCATTTATTAATTGATTTTTAGACTCATGCCTTCAGTACAATTCAATGTGCCGTAATCTAATTAGCCATCATCTGTGACAACAATTGACTGTATGATTAAGATAAATTTGACTGTTTGATTAGAGTTAGTCAAGCCTACAAAGGTGCTACCTACTTATGCAAAGGCATAACAACGCCTTGAAAACAATTCCCATGTTGTGGGTCTCATCTGTCATTTTCAATTAAGTGTCACCATAGTGATGGGGGTGGGAGGGGGGGGGGACACAAAGTGAACGATGAAAGATAGACCAGTAACCTAATTTTTACAGCTCAATTTGCGATCCAGATCAATAAGTCGACAATGATCCGTCATTGTTTAGCAAACTCCCATTTTAACCCATAATCAAGTTGTCTCTGCCTGTCAATCAATTTTGACTGTCATTATCTTGATGGTAAAAACTCGCACGAAGGTCTTAGTTAATTCCAATTAATGTATTCATTCATTTTTGCGTGCTTTAAACTTTGGGTTCATTTTGGCTAGTTATTTGGCGGTTTTGTGATGGCGTTTGGTCTGCTCATGTAGGTTAGCACTTTGTTCACTCTAGGCGCTAATCGTGTGCAGATACAAGTTTCTATGTTGCACAGACCATCATGATGTATCACATTTCACGAACAGTAATAAGGCTATGTATTTAAATGAATGGAAGGAGATTCTCCAGTTTTTTGTGACTATTTCTCCATATGTGGGAATTCTTCATCGAGTTTAAATGGCAATATTTACGTTTGGTATTTTTGGCATTATTTTCCCTTCAGTTAGTTGAGCAGCCTTGAAATTGGAATAATTATATAAAATGCTGATTGAGCATAACAGCAGTGGGTTGTCTATAAAAGCTTTCTTTACCTGACAAGAAGATTGCTTCGCGTTTGATGCTTAGTGCTTTATTCCACTAAAAGTCAATCTAATTTAGCCTCTTTTTGCTGTACATTTCATGTTATGAACCATATTAGTAGTCTAAAATGGTAAATTATGATCTATACGGTACTTAAGAAGAATTAAGTTCAAATTACTTAGAGAACAGTCTTGATAGTGTAAAATTGAAAAGTAAAATTATCTACAAATATTTTGTTAAAACTTATTAAACATTTTATAACACTTCATTCTACTTCATTTCTTACCATTTCAAAAATTTAATTTTATTTGCGTCTTAGACATCAATCACCTCGAAAAATCCGGAACCAATTCCAGCTGATCTAAAAAGGGATAACATCGATTGTCACTCTCGCACATCATTTAAACAATTCCATTTTAATAAAGGTCTTATCACGCAAAATGCAACATTTAAAGTTAATATTACTGTCATAGTTAAAGTTAATCAATATGGAAAGAAATTTACAAAATTATTTTACTTTTCTTTTCAAATATTCCCAATTTCAGAAAGACTTTTCTTAGTTCATAAAATCGGGTAATTGTTATTAAATTTGCTAATGATTATGTCCCAGATTTTGGCCTTTTGTATGTATCAAAATGTCTGTAGCCTTCTTATTAATGAATCAAGAAAACTTTCTTCCCTAGTAGGTCAAAACGGAGTTCATTATTATTTAATTTTGGAGAAAAATTAGCACACGACGGCTGTGCCCATAGTTTCGCTTTAGTTTGTAAAGAAAGTTAGATGTAACAATGTACAATGATTAATTGGCATGAAAGTCAAACGAAATTTTTGACTTTGCTATTGTGATTTGGTCCACTTAAGTTTTACATTACCCTATTAACTTTTTTTATTCCAACCGGATAAAGGTGAATTAAGCGATTTCAACGTTAAACCCAATTGTATAAAACTAAGAATAAGGGCTTAATGTGAGTTTTGTCATCAAGATAATGACAGTCAAAATTGATTGACAGGCAGAGACAACTTGATTATGGGTTAAAATGGGAGTTTGCTAAACAATGACGGATCATTGTCGACTTATTGATCTGGATCGCAAATTGAGCTGTAAAAATTAGGTTACTGGTCTATCTTTCATCGTTCACTTTGTGTCCCCCCCCCCTCCCACCCCCATCACTATGGTGACACTTAATTGAAAATGACAGATGAGACCCACAACATGGGAATTGTTTTCAAGGCGTTGTTATGCCTTTGCATAAGTAGGTAGCACCTTTGTAGGCTTGACTAACTCTAATC